AAATAGCATAGGCTGTTTTTCTTGCTTTAACTTCTGCTGATTTATTAATCTGTGGGATAGTAATTCTCTGGTGTCTTGTGTAATCTTGGCATTTCCCCTGATAAAACCTGTGATACTTGTTCTTCTGCTACTAAAAACACACCCAATGTGCTGTGACCTATGCTTGTGAAAACTGCAGCAGGGGGAGTCCAAGAAGGGAAAAACTCAACCAAATTCCCACTGAAGTTCTTGTTAACCTTGAGGTCTCATGCAGGCCAAAATCAGATCTCACAGACCATAGCTATTACTGGGATATAACCTATGGTTATAGCTGTTCTAAAAGAGCTACTATATTGAATGAATAATGCAGCATGCAAACTGCTTTTCCACGTTGCCTCTGTAAGGCCAGAAAGGAAGGAGCATCACAGCATACATATCATATGCATCTCAATGTTCTTTGGACCAAGAGGCTCAGCACCCACTACAATTTCTTTGAGTCAGCAGGCGTTGTAGTCATGGAGGTAGAGTAAAAGGAGGGATTGAAGCAGATCACAAAGCATACCATGACTCCTGCTCTTCATGAAGCTTTTGGAGTGTTCTCAAGGAAGATGAGGATTAAATGGGCAAAGGCCTTTAAGTATTCTCTCATGTAAAGGAATGGAATTAGGTCTACAAAAGTAATTTGCTCGGAATATTAACCTGGGAAAAGGGAGATACGTTTGAACTCTCTTGTGGCAGAAAATAAACTGAACCTGGATCATTTACATCCTGATTACCCTAACCATGAGTAATTTTAAATAAAAAGAGAGAACTGGGATTTCTTCTCCAGCTGCGCTTGTCACAAGCCTTGATCTTATAATTGTGCTCTTAGGATATCTACAGGATGAGACAAGTAGGAATTGGATTTAGGAATAAGAAAGCTAGATGAACAACTTAAATTTCAAATATGTTGCATTTATAAATATCTAACATATAATATTTGCATTATAAATTAGCATATGTTTATATTAAATAAGAATGGCATTTGTGATGTAGAAATCTATAAAAATAAACTAAAATAAAGTGAAAGTATATTGTGTGATCTAAGTGCCCAATGCTGTGTCTGGTCAGACTCTGGGTAAACTGACTCACCTGCAGGTCCATCCTGCCCACTCATACCCATGCCATTAGTAATCATAGAATCATAGAATCATTAAGGTTGAAAAAGACTTCCAAGATCATTGAGTCCAACAGTCCACCTACCATCAATACTGCACAGTAAACTGTGTTCCTTACATCTGCATGTTTCTTGAACACCTCCAGGAGCTCAGTCACCTCCCTGGGCAGACTGTTCTAATGCACAACCACTCATTCAGAGAAGAAGCTTTTCCTAATATCCAACCTGTACCACCTCTGGCACAACTTGAGGCCATTCCCTCTCGTCCTATTGCTAGCTGCACAGGAGAAGAGACCAACCCCTACCACACCACAACCTCCTTTCAGGTAGCTGTATAGAGCAATAAGGTCTCCCCTCAGTCTCCCCTTCTCCAGACTGAACAATCCCAGATTCTTCAGCCATTCCTTACAAGACTTGTGCTCCTTATCAGCTTCATTGCCCTTCTCTGAACATGCTCCAGGGCCTCATTTCTTTCTTGTACTGAGGGGTCCAAAACTGAACACAGTACTGAAGATGTGGCCACACCAGAGCTGATTACAGGAGGATGATCACCTCCCTGTTCCTGCTGGCAACACTACTTCTGATGCAAGCCAGGATGCTACTGGCCTTATTGGCCACCTGGGCACACTGCTAGCTCATGTTCAGCCAAGTGTCAACCAACACTCCCAGGTCCTTTCCCTCTGCATAGTCTTCCAGCCACTCCGGCCCAAGCCTGTAGAGTTGCCTGGGGTTGTGGTGACCAAAGTCAGGACCCAGCATTTAGTCTTGTTAACTCCATCTCATTGGCCTCAGCCCAGCTATACAGCCTGTCCAGATCCCTCTGTAGGGCCTTCCTACCCTCAAGCTGATTGACACTTCCTCCCAACTTGGTGTCATCTGCAAACTTATTGAGAGTGTGCTCAATGCTCTCATCCAGACCATCAATAAGGATATTAAACAGGATGGGCTACAATACTGATCGCTGGGGTACACCATTTGTGACCGAGTGCCAGCTGGATTTAGCTCCATTCACCACCACTCTCTGGGCCTGGGCCTCCAGCCAGTTCTTTACCCAGCCAAGAGTGTACCTGTCCAAGCCACAGGCTGCCAGCTTCTCCAGGAGAATACTGTGGGAGACAGTGTCAAAGGCTTTGCTCAACAGCCTCATCCACCAGGCAAATCACCTGGTCATAGAAGAAGATGAGGCTGGTCAATTAGAATCTGCCCTTCATTAACCCATGCTAGCTGGCCCTGATGGCCTGGATGTCCCACACATGCTGTGTAATCTCACTCAAGATGATCTGTTCTATAATTTTCCATGGCACCAAGGTCAGCCTGACATGTGTGTCATTCCCTACATCCTTATTCCCAACCCTTCTTGTAGATGGGAATCATGCTGGCACGCCTCCAATCCCCTGACTTCTCTGGTTGACCAGATATGTAGACAGATGGTAGAAAGTGGCCTGGCAGTCACCTCCACCAGCTCTCTTCAGGTGGGTATCATCTGGCCCAATGGACGTGTGACAGTCTAGATGGAGTAGAATGTCTCTAATTGCCTAATTCTAGGCCACCCATCCCAGACTTACCAGACTTCCAGGTCAGGGGGTAGAGTACCTCAAAGATAACTGGTTTGACTATTAAGACACGTGTCAAGACGGCATTAAGAACCTCATGCTTTTCCTTATCCTCAGTGGTCATGTTCCTTCTTGCATCCAGTAAAGGATGGAGGTTGTCCTTAACCTTCCTCTTACTGTTCATGTATTTGTAAAAACAAATTTTGTTGTCTTTTATTACAGTGGCCAGTTTGAATTCAAGCTTGGCCTTCGCCTTTCTAATTTTCTCTCTGCATATCCTAGCAAATTCTTTGTACTGTTCCCAGGAGGTAGATTCTCTTTTTCTCCTGGTGCCCTAGCAAAAGTTCCCTGTTCATCACCATCAATATTCTTCCCTGCTGGCTCATCTTACAGCACAAGGGAACAACCCGCTCTTGCACCTATAAGACTTCCTCCTTAACCCTTCACCCTTTGGGACTGAATCTCAAAGGATCTTCCCTACCAGTGTCCCAAACAGTTCAAAATTCACTCTCTGGAAGTCCAAGGTAGCAGTTTTGCTGACCCCTCTCCTTACTTCACCAAAAATACATAACTCTACCATTTTGTAGTCACTCCTCCCAAGGCAGCTCCCAACCTCCACATCTCCACCAGTCTTTCTCTGGTTGTGAACAGCAGGTCTAGTGGGGCACCTCTCCTGGTATCAACTGTATCAGGAAGCTAACTTCCACACACTCTAGAAACCTCTCAGATTGCTTCTTCTGTACTGTATTATATTTCCAGAATATATCAGGGAAGTCAAAGTCCCCTGTGAGAACAAGGGATGGTGATCAGGGTGACCTCATTGCAGCCTTTCAGTACCTAAAGGGAGCCTACGAACAGGAGGGCAATCAACTCTTCGAAAGGGTAAAAACTGCAGGACAAGGGGAAATGGTTTTAAGTTGAAGGAGGGAAGATTTAGGTTGGATGTCAGGGGGAAGTTCTTTACAGAGAGAGTGGTGAGGTGCTGGAACAGGCTGCCCAGAGAGGCTGTGGATGCCCCATCCCTGGAGGTGTTCAAGGCCAGGTTGGATGGGGCCCTGGGCAGCCTGGTCTAGTATTAAACGTGGAGGTTGGTGGCCCTGCATGTGGTGGGGGGTTGGAGATTCATGATCCTTGAGGTCCCTTCCAACCCTGGCCATTCTGTGATTCTGTGATTCTGTGATCACGCAACTTCTGCCAGCTGCTGCCTTAGCTGCCTCAGGACCATGGTGATGTATCAAGTTGTGAGCTACATAGGAGTCCTCAAATCCTGTAAGAACCAGGAATACAAAGGTACTCTGAGAACCAAGTGTAAATCAGCAGCAATGCTGCGTTATTTATAAATACAGTCCTCCATTAGATGTTTAGAGTTTCTAAGGCACAATCAACCCAAACTGGTGGAATACTGCAGGAGGTTGGGAAAGGTCAAACAGGAATCTGAGTAACACTCGCTCTGTGTTCAGAGGAGGTTCAGGTTAGACATAAGGAAGAACTTTTTCTCTCAGAGAGTTGTCAGGCACTGGAATGGCTGCCCAGGGAGGTGGTGGAGCTGCCATCCCTGGCAGTGTTCAAGAGGCATCTGGATGAGGAGCTACGAGATGTAGTTTAGTGCTTGTGGTAGCAATGGTAGTGGGAGGATGGTTGGACTAGATGCTCTTGTAGGTCGTTTCCAACCTTGTGATTCTATGATTCTCAATATATATGTATTTTGTGGGACCGACAGGTTGGGGGGTTAGGAAAAGGCTCCACACGAGTGGGCATGGAAGGGGCCGCCAGAGCGGTGGGCACGGCCCCGAGCTACCGGAGTGCGAAGAGCGTTTGGACACCGCTCTCAGCCGTAGGGCTTGGGTGGTGCTGTGTGGAGCAGGGAGACGGACTACACGACACAGATAATCCGCGTGGGTCCCTTCCGACAGGGTGGACGCTACGGTTCCGTGACTCTGCACATTCATGCCGCCGCTTCTATAGAGAATTAAAACCTGCACACGCCCACAGGGCCGCGCGCACCCGCAATGAAGCACAGCGCGCAGTGGGGCCGGCCCGTGCCCCCATGGCAACCGGAGAGGGCGGGGCGCAACCCGGAAGCGAACGCGCAGAGCGGCCCCGCGGCTCGCTCACGCCCCGCCCCCTCCCTCTCGGCCCCCGTCGGGCTGGCCGCGCGGGGTGACGTGTCCGAGCGCCAGAAGCCGGAAGCGGCGGCCGCTCGAGGCGGGGGGCGACGCAGCAACGACCGTTGGTGCTGCGGGCGCGCGCGAGAGGCGCCGAGGGAGCCGCCTCCCCGCCCCTCCTCCTCCACCGCCGCCCGCCCGCCCGCGATGGCCCTGCGGCCGCTCCTCGTGGTCGCCGCTCTGGCGGTCGCCGCGCCGCCTCACCCCGCCGCCGGCTTCTACCTGCCGGGCCTGGCGCCCGTCAACTTCTGCGAGCCCTCCAAGGAGAAGCCCGAGTGCAAGGTGAGCCCGCCGGGGCGGCCTGAGGCCGGGCGGCCGTGTTGAGGCGGGGAGGCCTCGGCGCCTCCCGCGCCCCTGGGTCCCGCCTCACTGCGCGGCCCGAGCCTGCCGGGCGTCCCGCTGCTCTTTTTCTCTTCTCTTGGTACCTGTCTGCCGCCCTGAGGAGTTTGAGCTCGCTGCGGCTCGAAGCGTGACGGCTGACGGTAACGCGTTAGTAGATGGTGCGACTGCCGGCTCCTCTCCCGAGTTGCTGTCATCTTACAGACGGGAGCGGCCCGCCCATCTCCTGGCCCTTGTACGTGCTGCACCGAGCGAGCCTTTCCAGCTGGTCGTTTGTCAGGGGTTAGCAGCTGCTGGTTGCAGGTCGCAGGCAGGTAACCGGCCAGGGTGAGTGTGCGGTGACAGCTGTGTCTTCCGGGCTGTCACGAGTCCACAGCACAGAGCTTCCCTGTCCCAAGCACTCTGATCCTGAACTCTCAGTGATGTTTTAAGTTACTTTCAGTACCTACAGACAGGAGGGCAATCAACTCTTTGAAAGGGTAGATAGCAGCGGGACAAGGGCAAATGGTTTTGTTGAGGGAGGGAAGATTTAGGTTGGATGTCAGGGGGAAGTTCTTTACATACTGGCTTACTGGTGAAGTTTTCTCACATAACTGAGTGGCATATTTGTGAGGATGCTGGTTGATAGGGGTGTGTTCTTAAGGCAGTTTTTGCTCCTTTGGGTGAGCTTTAGAAGCTGTTTGCTGCTGTTGTGACAGAAATGGTAGCAGCTGTACTTTTCTCATCTTTCTCAAGTGTGTTGTTTAATTCTGACTGGTCAGATCCTCTTCTAAACAGGTAACCATGGATTCCTTCAGTCTTCTTTCCACACTGCTTCTGTCATAGCACCAGAATGCTCTGTGGATGTTGTTTTATGGGATCATAGAAGTAGTGTTTGAAAGCAACCTCAGGAGATCACGAATTTATTTAAGAAGCAAGACTGCTGCCAGCACAAGACCTGATCAGCTCTGCCCTTGTTTAAGCAAACCTTGAAAACTTCCAAGGACAGCACATCTACCACCTGCTACAGTGCTATGCTGCCCTCCTGAAGAAATACTTTTCTTCACCTACAGGCTAAAGTTTTCAAGCTGCACTCTGTAGTTCTTCAGAGCATCCCTGAAAAACACTGCTGTTTTTAAATTATTCCTAGTTTAGGCTAGGGTCATGTTAGAAGATTTTTAAGCAAAGCAGGTTGCCTGCTGTCCTTTCGTTATACCTGAGATGCTTATGGAGTGATCCTGCTCAGGCATCATTGCTTTATTTCTTTTTCCCCCCCTCATGCAGTGTCCACAAAATGTTTGAATCCTTATCCTGAAAATGTATCACTTTATAAACGTGTAATGAGACAGTTAATATAAATCTGCCACCAGTGGCTAGCTGAACATTTTAGGATAACCTCATCAGCTGTATTATTCTGAAAATCTGTTTCTGAGTTAAGCCATTTCTTGTTATTCCTCTACCTTGTGCCAGCCAGGTTATGTACAAAGTGAGATAGAGGCATGCAGTATGTCTGAATGGTTCTTTCAGTTGAATTGCCCCCGTTTAGTGTAGTGTGTGGTGAGGAGGAGATGGTGCATAATCAGATAATTGCCACAGCATAATATTTATGTAAGTGGGTACAATTAAGCTTCCTTGTACAACGTTAATTTTTCATGTGTTCTAGCTGAGTTCTGACAGTTGCCACCGTTGATTTAGTAATACTGAGTTCTCCCCCATGTGAGATTTTTAGATTTTGTTTAAATCCCCACAGCTGAGTTTTTGGTTGCTTCAGAAATGAAGTTGTGGACCAGTACACAGGTACTGATCTGATCTGTGCTTTTCACCGTATTCTTGTAAGACTTCTTGTGCAGAAGTTCTGATGATGGCTAAGATCGCTCCAGCTGCTGCATTAAACTAAAACTGGCAACTGTTTTATAGCAGTTTTGTAACTGTATTATTCTTGTATCTGATTTCTTGCTATCTTGTAGTCTGCATGCTTATGTTAGCCTTCTAGTGGTTTTGTCATGTGGGCTCTGTTTTCCCCATGCTCAGATAGCATTTAATTCATGGTCCTGGCAGATATCATTCGTTATATGAGAATGTGCATTTCAAGATATGGAGTTGCATAATTCTTATCTGCCCAGTGTGAGACTTTCACTTACTTTATTGACACAAGAGCCTATGTGTGTGTGTGTGTGTGTATACAAAATATATATGAGCACAGATGAAATACAACCAGTGACTCTCTTGATTCTTTCAGTCTGGAATCGAGCTGTTTGTGAACAGGCTTGACTCTGTAGAGTCTGTCCTTCCCTACGAATACACTGCGTAAGTATCTTGCATGTCTGTGTCGTTCTGCTTTTCACTTCTTCCGACAAGATGAATTGCATTTATCTTTAAGTGTTATTAGTGCCTTGATTTAGCTGTTTCCAAACGAGGAATGTCCACTTATTTTTCCATTTTAGGTTTTATTTTTTCCATTTTCGTTTTTTTGTTTCCATTTTTTAATTAAACAATTTGCGAATCTCGAATGAATTTCCAAGAAATGGGTTTTTCGTTCCCTATTTCTTGGTTTTCTTTGCAGATTCTCTCCTTATGTCCCTCCCTGTCTATATATTGTAATTTTATAGGGCAAAGTATTACTGCTGTCTTTAGTAGCCTATAGCCAGATGAGTTAAAGTGGTAACGAGGTGTGAACTTTCCATCAATTATCTTAATGAGGTGTTAAATGCTTTCTCGGTTTTCGTCGTGGGAGTACACAAAATATGTCTGTGATCTGTGCAAGTATGTGAAGTTGTTGCTTGGAAAAATACTTTGCTATTTCATGTTGAAGAGATCAAGCACTAGTTATATCCACTTCTTAATGCATATAAGCACGGGACACTTGAAGTTAGGAGGTATTCGGAAGGTGTGCTATTAAAAGATTCGGTGACTGAAAGTATTGTAACTTTTTTATTCAGTGGCATTTGATGTGAAACAGCTCTTCGATGCTTTTGTTTTATTATTTTCTCCAAGAATTCGATTTGCATGCCTTTTTTGGACTGTCATGACATGATGTGAAGCCTTAATTCCTGGCTAAAATTCCTGCACAAATAGGAAATCTGCAACTACTAAAGGAAACGTTTATTCTCCTCTAATTAATATAAACTGAGTTCTGAATAGCCAATCGAGAGGCTTGACTTCAGGGCTTTTCTTGTTCCTTCTGATACCAGAAGAATTGAGAAACTGTCTAAGAGTCAAGGTGGAGAGTTAGAAAGTAGGTGTCCCTTAATAATAGCCCTGGGTGTGGGGGGGATGCTCTCCTCCAGTCACGCATGTCTTGCATGAAAAAGGTCCTCAGCTTCTGTGCATTCAGAGGCCTTTCCTGAAAGCCTCCCCTACATATTCCATAAGATACAAAGTCTCAGGTGCCTCCTTTATCTATTCAGTACAAAGAAGCAGACCCTTCCCACTGTCTGAACAAAGGTTATCTGTTAAGGGATTTATCAAGCTGCAACTTGTATCACTTCCCCCAAACCGGGCTGTGATTTTCATACTTGACAGATTCAAGTAAGAAACTATGTATATATATATATATATATACACATATATATATATATGTATATATATATATATATACTATACTATACTAACTGTATATATTTATAGTTCCTTTACTTGTGATGATGGTTTTGATTTGAGGTACTCTGTTGGGTCTGACGTGCACATCTACTAAACTTTGTTAATTTTGCTATCTTTTCTATAATTCAGGTTTGATTTCTGTCAAGCGGAAGGGAAGAAACGTCCATCTGAAAACCTTGGCCAAGTGTTGTTTGGAGAGAGGATAGAACCATCTCCTTACAGGGTTTGTTCTGTGAAAAGGGCTTTTATTAATACTTATAATCCAGTGTAACCAAAAGAGGTCAGAATCTTGAGGATCCTTTCATTAGGGCGTTTTAGGATTTCATTATCTGAAATTCCACATAATAGAAATCTGTCAATTTAACCTAAGTTTGCATAGGATCATAGAATCGCTCAGGTTGGAAGAGACCTTAAAGATGATTAAGTCCAAACACAACCTAACCATACTATCCTAACTCTTAACAACCCACTGCTAAATCATGTCCCCGAGCAGCACATCCAAACGGTTTTTAAACACATCCAGCCTGTGCCAGTGCTTAACAACCCTTTCTGTAAAGAAGTGTTTCCTGATATCCAACCTAACCTTACCCTGGCACAACTTGAGGCCATTTCCCTTGTCCTGTCATCTGTCACCAGTGAGAAGAGACCAACCCCGCTTGTAAACCTTGTGGCCTGAAATGCTGCGGAGTTTTTCTTCTGTCTTTGGAACCTTGCTTCTCAGCTGAAATTCCTCTCTTGTTAGAGGAAATTGAGTACTCTTACTCTTGAAAACTAGGTCCAAAAATTGGGATCTTACAATGTGCTCTAAGATCACAAAGGGATTTTATAGTACGTGCCAATATGAAAAGCTCCTCTCTGATATCAATATATATAGCTTTGAAAATTCTTTTTATTAGCATACACAGTAATAAGTGTATGGGGGAAAACTTGTTAAACTCTGGAATTGCAGCAACATGCTTTTACTAATTTTTTTCACATGTATTTCATTTTTGTAGTTCACATTCAACAAGAAGGAGACATGTAAAGCTGTTTGTACAAAAACATATGATACCAAGAAGCCAGAGGATAAGCAGAAATTAGATTTTTTGAAAAAAAGTATGCTACTGAATTATCAGCATCATTGGTAAGTTGACATTGTTCATGGATTGGTTAGTCTAATATATTGCTGATAATTAATCATAGAATCATAGAATTCTGGCCTGGGTTGAAAAGGACCACAATGATCATTTAGTTTCAATCCCCCTGCTATGTGCAGGGTCACCAACCAGCAGACCAGGCTGCCCAGAGCCACATCCAGCCTGGCCTTGAATGCCTGCAGGGACGGGGCATCCACAGCCTCCTTGGGCAACCTGTTCCACTGCGTCACCACCCTCTGAGTGAAGAACTTCCTCCTAATATCTAACCTAAACCTATATTAATGTAGTTGGTCATTTTGTATTTGCATGTTAATACAGATTCAACATGAGGCTTTTGCACTAAATCCATTACTGTCCTGTTTTTGCAAAAGTTATTTTTGTATGTTGCCTTAATGTCTTCATTTATTTATTTTTACTTAAGAGCACTCACCAGGAATGAGTGCTTACTCCATGGAAACAAGTATGTTTCCAAACATAGCATGTGATTTTTTTTTTTTTTTTCTGCTGTCTGCTCACTGTAAAGTACTGCTATTTCTTTGCATCTGTAAGCATAGAAATTGGTTGGAGGTAAGAATTGAAACTTTCAGTCTACTTTTAGGTCATCTTTACCCTCTTCAAAAGCCTTTGCACTCTTTGTAATGTTGTGCCCAAGAGATGGGATCAGTAGTTCTGAGTGTGCAAAGTTTCTTTTTTTGTGTAGGATATGGAAATGAAAGGTGGCCAGTGAAAATGAGCTCATTAACTTGAGGAACACCTATACACTGAATCTTTTTCTGTTCTCTGAGACCCTCTGTAACAGATACAAAAAATAGAACTGGAAAAAAAAAAAAAATCTAAATTATCTTGGAATGTGCTGGGGCTCTGTTTCAGCTTGGATGTTGAGGTTCTCTTCTGATGGTCCATAAGGGTGAGGCCATATGGGATGTAGATGCTGAAGTCATGCTGGTTTTTTTACTTAGGACTTAGGACGTGCTCTGCACCAAAATCCAGAAGCTGTGAAACGTTTATCTGCAGGGTGTGTGTAGGTGTTGTAGATGGCATACATGGATGTTTGTCTGTAGTGCTTTTATGTTGGTGTTCTGTGCTAACAGCAGCCTTTAGGTGCAAGCGTAGAAGGAACAACATTGGCATTAAGTTGTCTGAGCTTTCACTTTGGCATGTCTTTGGAATAAGCATAATTAATATTGCCCAGATGATTCCAATTACATACTGCCTGCTTCACTGAAACAAAAACTGGTTTTCATCTAATTAAATTAAACGATTCTGAACATATTAGTAAAAAAAGGAGGTGAGATGTTGAATGTTGCCATTGTCATTTAGGTGTTTTTCCTCTAATACCACATTTTGTTTGTTCAATTTCAATGCAGCCATCCACAGTGAATAGGCAGTGAGTGCTTTTTTTGCTGTTCTTGGAAGCTGATGCTGTCCTGTCCAGGGGTAGATTGTCTCACTGATCTGCATCTTCTTGGAAATCTCTGGAAAATCAGTGAGGTTGCAAGCTGATAAACTAGATGAGAGGTTCACAGGCAGCAGCTGCACATTTATATAAGTGGATAGGGGAGTAAATAAAGGAGCTCTGAAAAATGCAGCTGTTTTTGCAGGGATTTGTAGTGTATCTGTTTAATGCTGCAGTAAGTAGGTCTTCAAAGATACTTCATTTAGTTATATTTCTTTTAAATCTTGCATGTGTTTATAAAATTTGCATTGCTTTGAATTTCACTGGTATGTGTTGGTGTGGCATAATGTTTAACCTTTAAAGTCTGTCTGTGTTTTGGTGTGTGCATGAAAAATGAAATGAAAAATTTCCCAAAGCTGTGATGCTATCACAAAACAAACACTTTTCTCTGCTTACATCAGTTCACAAATCTACTTAGCATATTTAAGAATGTTCTTTAGTCTGTACCCCAAACTTGATAGAGATGTTTCAATTCAATCGTTCAATTTTCAGTGGGAAAACTTTCCTTTGGAGTGCTCTGTATTCTTATATTTCTAATTACTTTAATAGCAAAAAAATGAAACAATTGGAGCATTAGTTCTACTGCTGTAAAGCTTTGCGACCAGTGGCATGAAGTATCCATGTTTATGTCTGCTACAGTAACAGCAGTCCCTCATCAACCACAGATCCACAGAGTGGAAGTGGCTGCATTTTGTGATTCAGAAGTGTAATATAGGATTCAGATACGTGGCAATCAGCAAGGTGTAGCATAAGGGAGGGTTTGATAGAGGTTTATTATCAGGCTTCAATGTGTCATAACATTTCAGGGGAACACAGATGGTGCAAAGTACTTTTAAGGCTTTCAAGGCTACTTAATAAGATCAGTAATTGACACACTGAATTGGACTCAACAGCAACGGTGATACCCTGTCTCACCACGTTCGTCACCAGATGTTCTTGGAAGACATATAAGAATATTTGTGTAGCTTATTTGCTCCTCGTGTATAATCTCTTCAAGTCATTTCAAATGTGAAGATTAACACTGAAAAATGATTTGCTTCTTAAGTTATCAATTTGTTCCAGCATCGCAGCTTGAAGGCAGCTTTGTATGCCTCTGCTGCAGAAGATGCCTAGTAAAAACTTTATCCCAACCAAAGTCACTTGCAGTAGGTTGATCTGTTACCTGTTTTTGTGCTTTACGAAATGGAGGTGCTAACAAAACCAACCTCTTGCACATGTTATGGAGCTAGAATTTCAGATGAGAACCAACTGTAATGACTTGCACCTGGAATAGCTGCAAATCTGCAGCTTAATTGTGCCCTGTACAGCATGGCTAGGCAAGTCAGATTTGGTTGTTGCTACTGCTGTTCATAGCTCTGCCGGAGACTGAGAGCTTACAAGTTGTGGTTTTCAAAGGGGCTTTTTTAAAACTTTCTTCCATTGTGTCAATGTGAGTCAGTATTGCTAACCCAGCTCTGTATGGTAGCTAATGGTGGGGATGATGCAGACCTCGTTATTGTTTTATCAGCAAAGGCACCACGTGTCACTTAGCAGTTCTTTATTGTTGACTGAAGTCCTAGTTGTGTGTGAAGTACCTAATGAGACCTTAGCAGGTATCTGTTAACCTTAACAGCTCAGTGACTGTAATCCTGGAGTGCTTAATTGTAACGAATATTCAGCAGCTTGATAAGTTCTACAAAAGCCTGTCTTGTTAAGTTGGTGAGATGTCTGCTTTTGGTTTGGCAGTGCTCAAGAGGTGGCTGTTGTCTCATGTCTTCACGTGTGTCATTTACTAATTGAACTGTACAGATGTATCTGGGAGCAATTAACGATGCTTTAAGAGAGGCTGCTGAATTTTAAATCTTCTTTGAATAAATTGCTTTGGGGATTTATCTTCCTGATAGTTAAAACACTTTGTGACATGAAAATGTACATTCTTAATGCTTTTCTAGCACAAAAAGAAAATTGAGCATGATGAGTATCTCTCAATTTAAAAGTATGTCTTTAGTGGGTTTTGTTTGTTTTGTTGATAGATACAGATAGATATAGATGCACTATTTGCAGCATGTTGGATAGTATCTTTATCATGTTATTTTGTGTAAAGCTTTTGTTGTAGTCCCATGCAACTTCCTTGTCTCTAAATAGGAGAGAGAAGGTTTGTGGGATTTCAGTGATAAGGAGCTGGCTGGATGGCCCCATCCAAAGGCTGGCAGTTGATGGCTCAATATCCAGGCAGACATTAGTGACATGCAGTGCCCTTCAAGGGTCCCTACTGGGCCTGTTTAGTATTTTTATTGGTTATATGGATAGTGGGATTGAGTTTACCCTCGGAGACTTTGCAGGTGATACCAAGCTGTGTGGTGCAGTCAATGTTTTGGACTGAAAGGATGACATCCAGGAGGAGCTTGGCAGGCTTGAAAGGTGGGCCTGTGTAAAAACCTCACGCAGCTGAACAAGGCCAAGTGCAAGGTCTCACACCTGAGGTGGGGCCATCCTAAACATGGGCAAGGGCTGGTTGGTGAGTGGATGCAGAGCAGCATGGAAAGAACTTGGAGATGGTTCAAGCAGTGTCGAGAAACATTATTAGTATTATTAGTAGCAGTATTTCTGAAGAGCAATTAGAAAGTTGGAGGATTAATAATGTTTATGTAATGTGTGAGCAGTTTTTTATTTTGTGTTTTTGTCTCGAAGAAACTGGAAATGATGTAGTTCATTTCAGCTGCTTTCCTGGATGACTTGGGCTATGTTTAAAGAAAAAATAATGAAACAGTTTATTCCTGTGCCTTCAGAGTGAAAGAGCTTTATGATTTGATCTGTGTTTGTAGGGGCACTTTAGAAACTGGCTCAGTAAATAGAATGCTTTGGTGGTCACCGAGTGGGCTGTGTATTTCCAACACCTACCTATGGATTTGTCTATTTTTATTTGCATGATGCCATATATTTTGAAAGATGATGAAGTGTCAGTATATAATTCACAGGATTGTGGACAACATGCCTGTGACCTGGTGCTACGATGTTGAAGATGGCCAGAGGTTCTGCAATCCAGGCTTTCCCATTGGCTGCTACATTACAGAAGATGGCCGTCCAAAAGATGCCTGTGTTATTAATGTACGTTTGAGTTGGAATTTTTTTTACAATATCCTCTTTTTACTGTTCTAAAGACTAATTATGTCTGTGTCCTGTTTCTATGGTGAGTCCTCACTGTCTTTGTTCCCCTAAAACTGAACGTTTTTATGTATGTGCAGGTACTACAATCTCTAATCTCACCTCAGCTTGTCTAAGAACTGCCTCCTCTGTGATGTATGTAGTAATACAGAAAGGCTCAAACAGAGAAGAATGTGGATAGTGTGTAGAATACATGGAATGTAGGAGAAGAACATTGTCCTTCATTGTCTGTGATGTCTAAACTTTGAAGAACTTGGATTTTACTTTAGTGTGAGATAGAAATGTTTCATGGAAACAGGTTTTTGCAGGCATATTTTTTTCTCTGCTTGGGAACTGACAGTTCTTGAAGGAGTGCTTCTCTTAAAATGATGTGGACTGGTGGAAAAAGGCAATATATAAGAATACTGAGTGAAGCTTCTCTTCCATGTCAGATGGGTCCTTTTGGGTTAACTAGTGGAATTCCAGATAAATGCACTGTTAGTGTTATGCAGATAAGAATGCATTAAGAAATGTAGAATGTCTTCAGGTTATCCCAGACCTTTTCCACGGAGAGGTGATGACTAAGAAGCAGGTCTTTTGTTTTACTTACCAGCTTCTAATTTTGTTTCTTTTCCTGCATAGTGAATGGATTTCAGAGACTCCATATAACTGGATGGTTGAAGTAGATTTGTGATCAAATATGTAATCTGGCAACATTTCATAATGTTGTTTAAATATTTGTTTTTAATATAAGGGTAATAACTTTTGAAGGAGTAATTGAAAGACTGTAGAACACCTTAGAAAAATAAAACCCAGGCTTCTCATTAGGGCCCTCTGTAGAAAGGGGTGGGGACAGAACACCCTGAAGAAGGACTAACAAAGCTGCAGTAGACATAAAGCTTTTAACAACTAGTTTAATGGACTGATTTTCAAACTGAAACATCCCTTCACCTGAGATGTCTGTTCAACATATTGAATGTTGTTTACAGTGAATCTTTGGTTTCAAACGTGGAAGTGGTTCTGTCACAGACTGCAATGATTTGCGTTGTCGTAATAGGTTTGGTTTGATCTATGAAAAACATACAGTGTGTTTTAAAAGAGCTAATTGTTTATTAAACACATCTGGTTATGAAAGTTGTCACATAGCTGTCAATTCAGTTTGCTGCTTAAGTTGAGTAAAATGGAAACGTTGTCAGTTCCTCTATAGTCTCAGGTGAAGTTCTGCTCTCAACCTGTAGTTCTGAGCTTTTTTTCTAATGCAATAAAGCAGTTCACTGTCTTTGTATTCCCAGAATTGTGCATGCATCTTTGGGAGAACTTTCTGACAGGAAAACTATGCAGTATAAAATTAAATTTTGTAAGGCTTTCAGGTGTCTTTATCTTCTTGATTTTTTTAACTTTTTTTTTTAATCATTTTAGTCAGAATTTCATGAAAAAGATACTTTTTATATCTTCAATCACGTTGACATAAAGATATATTACCATGTTGTGGAGAATGAAGCTCTGGGAGCAAGACTTGTTGCTGCTAAACTTGAACCAAAAAGGTCAGTATTCAGAAATAAGTTGTTGTTGAGCAGTGATCCATCCCAGCACTCTTGCTTTGGTTTGGAGAAATCTTTTCAGGTATATGAGGTGTACATTAGCTTTCCTCTTGATGGATGGAGGATTGATGCAATCTTACTCTGTAAGTTCTGTAGATCTTTGTGCACTATTTCCTACTTGTGCCAAAAAAGATAAAATGAAATTTGAAAGTAATATGTGTTAAGGGAAGCAACCCCAGTAGGGAATGTTCCGTATCATCATCGGTGCCAAAGGCAGGAGTAATTAGAGTGCAAATTCTGATGAATTCAGCAATCTGGATGCAGTGATAGCACAAATATAGCTATCTGTTGTTCAGGTGTCTGTGTGGCCTTTCTACAGCTGGTCTGATTATTACTGATGCTGCGTTTTTGGGAGTGTGTTCTTCTGTAGGTATGTTTTAGGAAATATACTTCTGTGCCAACAGTTTGTGTGTCCTGATGTCCTCAGTTTGTGGCACGCTCCTTAGGAGCTCTGAAAGTTGAGGCATTAAGAAGTATTACAACGTTTAAGGGAAGAGTCGGGGATGAAACTGATGCTTGTGTAAGATAAGCAAATGATATCTTAATGGTGGTGTTAGTGATGCAGCTTTCATTGTGTGTTTTTTCTTCCTGCAGTTACAAGCATACTCATCCAGACAACCCTGATTGCTCAGGAGTGCCTATGGATATAAGCAATAAGGCTAATGGAGAAGTCAAAATTGCTTATACGTACTCAATATCTTTTCAGGTGAGTGCTAAGGCTTTTTTATGTTAGTTACTTCTTAAGATCAAATCTTTTGTGTTAATAATCAGAATTATAAAGATAGCTAGAATTATTTCAGATCACTACGTTTCTGGTTTAAAAACTTAATTTAAACTGAAATGTGACTTGGGACCTAAATGCATGCCTTACAGTTTTGCATACCTCCTAAATATACCATAAATCCATACCTAAATGCATACCTCCCCACGCACCCTGAAAAATGCATATGCAGCTTTTAAAAGAATTACACTTTCTTTTTTTTACTTTTCTTGTCTGTCTAGACTGTCTGGCAGATTTTTTCTCACTCTAAGCTCCAACTCTGAGAAGCTGTGCATTTTGGCAAATTTGTGCTGTAAGCAGTCCTACAGGAAAAGCTTTATTTTTTTCCCAAGGTGGTCTTCCCATATACAGCTGTAGGAAACTTAAGAAGCTGGTATTGTTCATCCCTCTGTTCTCTAAAGGCACAGAAACACTTCATTGGGCAAATGCAGGGACCAGTGATGCTTAAATGTGTCTCATTAGGATGAACAAGCATGATGTACCTTTTAAAATGGAATTTCCTTAAAAAATAATAATGATAAAATGTCCAAGTATTAGTCCAAGACCTGTATTGCTTCTCTTATACAAATGGCATGCCCAGCTGCATGTGTGTTTTACTGTCTTGTGCATAATGTTATGTGACATGGAGGTATTCCTCTGAAATTCTGTCAGGTTAGTGGATCAGATCAACTCAGGAGGACAGGAATTGAGGGAGTATAAGTAGAAGAAAAATGTGATTCTGTCCTAGAATTATTGATAAGGATGAGAAACTTGTTGCTTGCCTTGAGATATGGTTTTACTGCCTCTGTGGACTAGATACTTGATCTTGGCTTCTGCGTACTGTAATTCATTGCTTTGGGGTTCTTTTAATCTTCAAAAACAGCTTTACTACAAAGTGCTTTTGCTTAACTTACTGAAATAAAATCCTATGACAAAAACACGTGGCTGTTTGTATTCATTGATTGTGGCATTGATGGTTTGTTAATAGTAACCTTCAGGTTGATTAGCACTGTTTATTCTTGTTTTCATGTTTACTGTGAAACATAAAATGAAGACGTGTTGTATCAGGAGTGTTTCTGATACATGAATGTTTAGTCTGAGTAAGTATCATCAGCTGAAAAACAGCAAGGAAAAAATTTCCTTCTGTTAACAACATAAGTTTGTAGCATTGTCTTCCCCACCTGTCTTGCAGCTTTAGCTGACAGTAATTGGATTGGTAGTTGGTGCATGAAGCTGCGTGAAAGCAGGAGGTAATTGGGCAGTTGTGTTCAAAAAGGGGACCTTCAGGCTGAAGGCTGTTCACGTAGCACAGCATTGTCTCTGAGTATGGAGTGTGTTGACTTGCATATGCTAAACAAATTTGTGCTCTCAATTAGTTCATTAGTCATCTGAATTCATGGGAATTAATAGAAAACTTCATGCTCTGAGAAGGCATGGGTCTTATTCAGAAAATGTTTTATTCTAGAGTCTGTGGTCAACTCTTAAGTCTGTTTTTAAGTTGTTATTCTGTAAATATTACATTTAAGCCATTCCAAATTAAGTTTCAATTCATCCTGAGATTTAAGATAGCTTTGCATGAGTATAAACTCTTGAATTTAAATTGGACTCTGGTTGTGTCTGAAACCGATGTTTCTTCTTTCAGGAAGAAAAAAATATAAGATGGGCATCAAGATGGGATTATATTTTGGAATCCATGCCTCACACTCATATTCAGTGGTTTAGGTGAGAAGAAAGTTTGTCTTCAAGCATACAGTACCAAAATATTTTAACATTGCGATGTGGACGATGACTCGCTGCTGTTTTTCAATCACTGCAGCATTATGAACTCCTTGGTGATCGTCCTTTTTCTGTCGGGAATGGTTGCTATGATTATGTTGAGGACGCTGCATAAAGACATTGCAAGATACAATCAGATGGATTCCACTGTAAGTCTGAAATGTACCTCCTCAAGTATATTTATAATGTAATTTCTTTCTGCGAGGAGTTATTTTGTTACAGGCTACACAAGTGTGATTTACTGTGTGAAAATAGCTGGATTTCCTTTACAGGAAGATGCGCAGGAGGAATTTGGCTGGAAGCTGGTTCATGGTGATATCTTCAGGCCCCCGAGGAAAGGAATGCTGTTGTCTGTTTTCCTAGGCTCTGGCACGCAGATCTTGATCATGACTTTTGTTACACTGTGTAAGTAATAAAGTGGGAAGGAGTTGGTTCAGTAGAAACCATCTTTTCAGTGCTAATTGCGTGTAAAAAGAGCAGTACGGTTTTGTCTACAAATGTCTTAAAGTCTTAAGATTAGAAACAGCTGGGCTAATACAGTAGACATACAAGTTTTTATCTTAAATTTTAGGTACAGTAAGTGGTGTACTGGCTTTAAGTCCAGTGTGTAAATAAGTTCTTAAATTGTGCATCTCCTTCATAGTTTTCGCTTGCCTGGGATTTTTGTCACCTGCTAACCGGGGAGCTCTAATGACCTGTGCTGTAGTTTTGTGGGTACTGCTTGGGACTCCAGCAGGTTATGTTGCTGCCAGATTCTACAAATGTAAGTAAAAGTTATTTAAAATGACAGGGCTTAAGTTCATTAAAGTAAATTATCGTCATAGAACTGACTTTTATTTTATGGAATGGTTTGTAGTTTCCCTCAGGGCAAGATGGAGAAATGTATTTATACTAACAGAAAATAAGTATGGAGTACTGGCACGGTTAAACTGATTTTGATGTGATCGTGCTTAGAGACCCTGAATTGCTTTTGCTGCTATGTACTTATGGAGTTACGGGGAAATTATTTTTTACTAATGCTAATTCCTTCTGATGATTTTGTACCTATGTTTTCCTATGGCTGGAGGAATGCAGACCCTTAACTTGATTTTAGCTTTAGCTGTTGACATTGTTTGATAACTTTTTTTTTTTTCCCAATAATGAACTTCTGTTATTGCCTGAGATTTTTGTCGCTGCTTCTTAGCTAATTCAATTTTGGGGAGAATAGTGCTTTTCAGACTGAATGTGGGGTGAATTAGCAGTATTCTGTGGCTGCAGCATCCCAGTGATATTTGGACACCAGGCAGTAGTTGGTTGATACTGTTTCCTCCCCTTACCCTAACCAGCTATCCTTTCAGGGCCTGTCCACTGACCAGAGCTAGTTTGCACCTGTACCTTCTGGTTTATTTTATGTCCAAATGTGCCATCCTCTATGTCTATTACCTTACATGAGGTACAAGATTGTTTATGACTGAGTAAGCTGGTTTGTTGTTTTTTTTTTTTTTTTTTTGGACTGTTTGGACTATTATAATTCTGAAGACACAGTGCTAGAGAATTCATTTCTGATCTTGAACCTGAGAGTTAGCGTTGGAGTTCTTCACTTTCTTCTGACTATTTTATAATTTTCCTGTGGGCACCAACTGGATGAAGCGCCTTCGTTTTGAAGGGAGCTTTCCCACAGTGGCAGTGATGGCATTTTTGAACTTCTCTTCAAGCCAATTTTGTTTAAATAGAAGGAGACTTAAATGCTACTACATTCAACAGTGCTTTGGGGCTTCTTTATATCATGCTGGATGTTTTGTATTTTTAAAGATAATTTGAAGTTTTTGATGGCAAACCAAATTCCATAGTTTTAGTGGAGGTGGTAAGAATTATATTTCCTATTATATTTGTCATGAGTTCAGTTGATATTTGACAATTTAACTAAATATTTAAGACAGTGAGTGATTACTCCAGAGATATTCTTGTTGCAACGAATGGTAGAGCATGTCAGCATGAATGTTTTTCCTTGCAGTGTGCCAGCAAAGCACTGAGAGACTTAAACAGCAAAATACAACTGAAACAGTTATCCAATTCTAAAAGGTTTTTTTTATGCTGCATTTAAAAAGTGAAGCGTGAGTTGGAAAGAACTGATTAATATTAATTACCTATGCTGTGTTCTACCAAGAATTTTTTGAAGGAAAAGTAATTAAAATCATTCCAACCATAATCACTGCTGAGTCTTAAAACTAAAAAATACATAAATAAATGTGTCATGAGGGCACTGCTCAGCTGGAATTCCAGTGGGATATTTTCATTTGGAAGTTCTCTGACTAGAATTTTTATCAGTGTAGTACAAACTCCTAAGGATTTTTTTATTTTTTAATTTTTTTTTAAATAAAGCTATCCTAGGTCTTTTGGTATCACCAGTGCTTAATGCCATTAAGATTTACAGGAAGGAGTGATGTTCTTTTAAGCATTAGTCCTAACTTGTAAAACTCTTAGACAAAAGTTATTTCAAGAAAGCATCTTAGCTCTCATTTCATGTATTTATATAAATATTACATTCTAATATTTATGTATTTATATATGCTAATATATACATATATATATATATATATATATATATATATATATATATATATATATAAAAAAGAATATTTCATAATGAAACTGTTCAAAGGCTAGGAAACTTGAGGTTGTTGATCATAACAGGTTTAAACTGTTTTTTAAAGACTTGAAAGTACTTCAGATCCTCTTCCTTAGATAAAGTGGTCAGAGGCCAGGTTTATTTACTTGAATGTTTTTCTTGTGGATCTGAGAGTTTTCTTTGCTCTGAATCTTTGTGATCAAGCAATACGATGGAGTTTGTTATTACTAAAGATTTATTTTACTGTTTGAAATTTGAGCATGATAGGACGTTATTTGAGTATTTGCAAGCTAAGTGTAACAGCTAAATGGACTGGAAAATTAATAGTTGTGAGCTTAATGCACGTTTTGATGACTGTCAAATGTTTTAATATAGCATTTGGAGGTGAGAAATGGAAAACAAATGTCCTGCTGACATCATTCCTTTGTCCTGGGTGAGTTGAGAATATAGCCATGATTAAAAGAATTAAATTGCTTCTCTGACATGCATAGCTAATATTCCAGCTTCAGCTGTACAAGTAAATCTTATTACGGTGTCCCTTTGTTCCACAAGCTGTAAGAGCATGGAGGTGCATTTGACAAAGATAGCTGTGTCAGTGGCATGTCATACTTGGTTCTTTTTTATCCAAGTTCCATGTTTACTTTTGCCACATGAAAAAACTGATTTAAGAAAGAGCAAAATCGTACTATTGAGTTTCAGATGTAGTTCTTCCATGCTTTCTTTTCCTGTCTGTGCTGTCTTTCTGACCGCGCTATAGTTGGTCCTACATGGTGTCATACACTGTATAACCGCTGTGTTAAATTCTTCTGCTTAATCACAGCAAGCAGTCTTACCCTGGAGCGTAGTTAAGACAAGCATATATTTGAAATTGCTTAGTTGGGATGTCAGCTCCTGCTGAAGTTCAATCCCACTGGATTACAAAAGAATCGCTAAGCTTGACCTCTTCATTTGGATATTTTTTGTGTCACTTGATTGTAGGAGATTTGCACTAAAATCCTTATACGGTTCTGTTGTTTTGTGGAGACCTTTAAATATTAAGAAGTATTTCTGTGCCCTGAATGTGTGATGTATTTTTCAGAATCGTGTTTGCGGATTTTTTTATCATGAATCTCATTCTCTGGGGAGAAGGCTCTTCTGCAGCTATTCCGTTTGGTACTTTGGTTGCTATTTTGGCACTCTGGTTTTGCATATCTGTTCCACTGACGTTTATTGGTGCCTATTTTGGCTTTAAGAAAAATGTAAGTATTTCTTGATATACAGTGTTGTTTGTTTTTTTTTTTTTTAATATATATATACGGCTATGACCGAGGTAGCACCTAATCTAGTTCACCTTGTCAACTCCAGTCCTGTTCTCTTTCTTTAAAACTGCGTGGTGTACCTGATCTTGAAATTCCAAGACGTGGATATTAAGTTGTTGAGTTGCAGTGATATTTCTGAGCACTGATCAGGCTTATCACTGTATTGGATTGAACGATTGTTCAAGGTAATGCAGAGATCCGGGCATTCTTTATGTTCATTACTATTTCTCTCATTACAGAAAATTCTGTTGACCCAACCAAGTATAAAGGAAAGCAGTTTATGCGTTTGTGGGTATTTTGTTTGGTTTTCCCCTGTGCATTTTGGTGCTGTTCTCTGTCTACAGAGTCTGAGACGAGAAGGGTGTCATCTTCCGATGAAGTTGCGAGTTCTTGTGAAATCTCTCCACTTAAGTCTTCTGTAAATGATTATTGCTGCTTTGCAGACACTAACTGAATTAACTGAGATTTCCTCCTAAACTGTTTTCTTACTTACATGAGGGTTCTTTGTGACATGAGTGACCAAACCCTAAGCAGTGAAATCAGTGGTTTTCTTTTGCTTGAAAGGTGGCTTACTGTGCCCCACAAGCTTAAAGACCTGTAAGTTTGGCTAATATTTTTTCCCATGTATAGGCAACCTTCATTTCAGCTCTCTGTAGAGCTGATGGAATGCCTTCAGAAAAATGTTTAATTATGCTGGAAGGCTCTGTAGGTCATTGTAGTTATCTTATTTTACTTAACTGAAAGTCAGTGGATTTTTTTCTCCTGCTAACCAGGTGGAAGTTCAAGCAAAAAAACCTTGTAAGTAAAAAAAAAAGACCTGTACAGAGACAGTTCCTTGAGAGAACAAAAAAAAAAAAAAAGAAAGAGGGTTATGAGAAGGCAGTGTGAATGGTGTCACAAATATGTTAAAGCAGGAAAGCAAGTACTGAGCTGAAATTGTTGATTTTCTTGAGGCGATCTGTAAGAAAGGGGAAAGATGACAAAGTAGGCATTCATCTGCCTTAATTTTTCCTTTCCACCATGCTGATTTGTGCATGTAGCTTAATTAGACTTGAATTCAAGATTAAAGTAAATCAAAATTGCCAAATTGAATCCTCTCACTCTGTAAATGTACCTTAATGTGATTCTTGGAGTACATCCTGAAAAACCAGATGCAGAGATTTCTAGAAGGAGAAACCAAGAGTGCAGCACCACCACTTCCAAGCCAAACGCTGAGAAATATGTTCCAGCTACACAACAGATCATAGACAGTCATTAAAAGAGGAGGCTCAAAATATGTGTTGCAGTATTTTAAGTAAGAGCTCTCTTTCAGCTGTTTTGCCTTGCAGATTTTGTGAGCTGAACTGGTAGAAAACGCACATGTAATGGTAGATGAGCCTGTGCATATTCAGAATGTATGAATAGACTTCTGCCAGCTCTCCTGTCAAAGAGAAAGCAAAATAAGTAGTGGTGTAGTTTGGCTTGTTACTTACCTAGCAATTTCTTTGTTTTGTTTGAAGGCTATTGAACACCCTGTTCGCACAAATCAAATTCCTCGTCAGATTCCTGAGCAGTCGTTCTATACAAAGCCGTTACCTGGAATTATCATGGGAGGGATTCTGCCTTTTGGGTGCATCTTTATCCAGTTGTTCTTCATTCTGAACAGTATTTGGTATGTTAACTGCAACCTAAATTTTACCTTCTGTGTCATAATAGGTTGTAGTTTTTATGTGAAAGTTTATTCAAGTTGCATTGACTGATTGAGGATTACAGAATTACCAGAATACTGGCTCATTAAAAATGTGTTAACATCTTTTTAACATTTTGTGGGTTAGAAGATACTCAGTGCTTGTGTCGCTTGCTGAGGTGTATGGAGAAGGTACTGTGATAAGCATAGCAATTTACAGCTGGCTCATGATATTCAGACAGATATTCAGACTACTCGGCCTTCTTGTGGAAGCTGCTCTAAAGTTGACATACATGCATATAACTTGAAATCAGTAAGCATGTCGTAAGGAAGCATGTGATCTGAGGGTGTTTGGTTCAGGCTTTTTATTGTTGGGGTAGAAAGCAAGACTACAAATTGTTCCCCAAAATTGTTCTCCTTTCAAAGGCATCACGGAGTAATTCTGTTCAATATCAAAAATAATGCAGCTACTCCAGTTCAAGTGAATTTTGATGTGAGTTCATAGCATGCTGACAAACTAATCTACTGTAAGGATTTTGTCTTCCTCCTGGCACAGTTTAGTTACTGGGGATCTTTAAACTGTTTCTGAACCTTGAATAGGTGCTTCTGCCCAGCATACACAGCTGAAGCATTTGACATTTCTTATTATTTTGCAGCTCTGCCCCTTTGATTGAAATGTGAGGTGAAATCCAAGTTCTGCTGAATTCAGTGGAAGAGGTCATGTTGACTTTACTGGAACTGTAATTTCACTCATTATGTGTAGTCAGTTTCTTCCCTAAAATCCCAAACACCAGCAGCACTGGGGCTCACTTTCTCGCTGTTTTCAGACTGAGCTGTCAAGGCTCTTATTCTTGATGTAGAAAGCAAATTAGTTAATTGTATGGGCACGGAATTAATAGTGCCTCAGTGAGAAAGGAAGTACCTTAAGGTGAAGGTGATATTGCTGTGTACGAAGGAGTAGTACCAGTACAATGCCCATTTTAATTTTTCTGGTTATTTTTTGGACACTCTCTTCATTAGGTCTCACCAGATGTATTACATGTTTGGCTTCCTGTTTCTGGTTTTCATTATTTTGGTTATCACATGTTCTGAGGCCACCATATTGCTCTGTTACTTCCATCTATGTGCAGAGGTAAGAAATACTCATCAGTATTCATACTTAGTACTGCTTTAAGGATGCTTCAAGAAATGTTGAAGACTTCTATAATTGGAAATAAGCATTAACAGAATTTGACATAAACATTTAAATATGGTATTAAATATCCTTAAATCGAGACTTTAAGAAGTGAAGCTACTTCTGGCACAGCTTGTAAAGAAATAAATACTAAATCAAACCCTGCACTGAGTGCCACTGAGTCAGATACATCACCTTCAGAGTCTCACCTCCTGGTTTCTGAAGATTTATCCACTGACTTTGCTTAATGAGAGTGCATTCCTTCATCTGCCCAACCTGGGGGGATAATTAAGGGGAGTAATTAAGAACCTCCATGGTTTACAATAGTAGATTGGGCTTATTTGTGTTGTTTGGGTTTTTTTGCCTACTTGATACAGATCCTTCTTATCTCTAGTTCTGAATAATGTAGTTAAAGCACTGTTGATTTTTATGTATAGTTTTTGCTGTAGGTCAAAACTATGAAAGCTTACTTTGAGATAAAGTGATGGTAGAAGAAAGATGGACAGTAGCTTTGTTTTCAGTATCAGTATCAGAGCATTAGAGATATATGCAATTGTACTCATATGTCTTTCTTTTTGCCCCCACTTCTAGGACTATCACTGGCAGTGGCGTTCATTTCTCACTAGTGGTTTTACTGCAGTTTATTTCCTAATATATGCAATACATTATTTTTTTTCTAAACTGCAAATCACAGGAACAGCTAGCACCATTTTATACTTTGGTTATACCATGATTATGGTTTTGATCTTCTTCCTTTTCACAGGTAAGTACTTCTGAACTTTGATTTCAAATGTTGAGTTTACCTTCAGCTGTCTGTAGGAGAAGCCTTGGCAAGCTTTATCTTGATACAAGATTACAAATTTAATATACAACTGTGATTTTTTTTTTCCTTGATTTGATCTCTTCTGGAACTTTGTAACTCTTTTCCTGTTGCACTGAAGAAATGGCAGAGGAAGGGCAGAGAGACATTTTTTTGATACTGTGTTATTAGAGTTTTGTTATCTTTATGATGAGTTTCTGGGCAAGCCTGTGTCTTAAGTGCTGCACTGCTGTTTGCTCATTAGTGAGATGAGGTGACAATCTTCCCTCTTCATCACCTTCAGTACTAGAAAGGAATTTCCAGTCAGACATGCTTGTCCCTTATTTAAGATGGAGGATGCAGGAAGTCTGCTTTCAAATGTTCATGAAAAAAGTTACCATGTGGCAATTCCTCAAAATACTTAGAATATTTAATTCTGTTCCAGCATTCCCTACAGAGTAGTATATTTTTTAAGCTATTTTGAACTGATCAATGCTTAAAATGATTTCAGGTTCCATGCTTATGAAGAAAACCTAATGACTTCTAAAGCTTTGATGCAGCTTTACGCATACAACTTTGCAGGTTATATTTTGCAGCCTCCTAGAGCACAAATGGTTTGCCATCAGAGCTTTTAATAGAGATACCACTATAAGTAGAATTTTCATTTCCACTGAACACAGAGAAGAAAAAATGTTTAACTGGAGAAGATCGCTGGCATTTGTGAATGTTTATTCTTAAAAGGAACATCATACACTCATTTCAAAGAGCTTGCTGCTTCAAAGCAGTTTGTAGTCCACAACTGAATGTAGATAAGGAACAGGAACAAAAGCCTCCAAGGAGTTTCTTGGGTCACCGATGGTTGGAGAGAATGTGATGTTACAAAAAAACCTTTTAAAAAGCTCTGTCCCAAGAGTGTTGGGCTTGCATCCGTGTCTTAAATAGCCAATTTAACTTCAACAAGAGTTGTGAGGAGTGGTTGAGAGAATTTTGGTCTGGAGAACAGGAGGCCGAGGGAAGACCTCATCCTTCTCTGCAGGTATTTGAAAGGACTGCACAGAGGAGAGTGTTGGTCTCTTTTCTCAGGCAACGAGTGATAGGGCATGAGGAAATGACTTCTAGTTGTGCCAGGGGAGAATTAGGTTGGATGTTCAGAAGAGTTCCTTCATGGAAAGAGCAACAGACATTGGAAGTGGCTGCCCAGGGAAGTGGTGGAGCCCTGGGTGGCAGAGGGGCGAAGCTTAGTGGTGGGTCTTGGTTTGTCATGTTGATGGTTAGATTTACTGACTTCTTTTCCAACCTAATGATTCTGTGATTTCACTTATATCAATATTTAAACATTGTGATGTATGCTTAAAGTCTCATGAAAAAGTGAGGCCTTGGTAAGTCTATGATCTTTAATTTAGTTCCATTACCTTTTCTAATAGATATTCGGTATGTTTGCCTTCCATTGCGAACAGTTTTGGCCAAAGCCAGAATTGCATTTACATAGAAAACAAAGGGGACCATATTTTCTGTGCTGAGACTTCTGTTTTAGCTGCTTTTCTGTACCTTCCACATACGATTTCCATCTTTCACTCACCCTTGTTCTCTCAAGCCAGTCATGTCACATGATGCCTTTAAAGGTGTGCAGTGCAACTCTTTTCCTTTGCTCACACATTTGCTTTCAGTTGACGGTCACCAACTGGCTGTGCAGTGCCTGCCAGTGAATTTGGGAAATGCTTTTCAGGATGTGTTCACAGGGATGCAAAGAATAAGTGATTTAGTCTTAGACCTCTTCAGATGCTTTCTGTAGTAGTTATCTGTCTGTAACTGGGACAGTGGAGATGCAAGTCATGTTCTGTAATTCCATTTGTGTGTAGAAGTTAGGGGAGAACATAAGCAAAATAGTGATAGGATCAGGGGGAATGGCTTCAAGCTACGGCAGGGGAGATTCAGGCTGGACATGAGGAAGTATTACTTTTCAGAAAGGGTGGTCAGGCACTGGAATGGACTGCCCAGGGAGGTGGTGGAGTCACCGAGCCTGGGGGTGTTCAAGGAAAGGCTGGATGTTGTGTTGAGGGACATGGTTTAGTGGGAGCTATTGGGAATAGGTGAACGGTTGGACTGGGGGATCTTTTAGGTCTTTTCCAACCTTGGTGATTCTATGATTCTATGAAAATAAACCGTAGGATTAGAACTTTGAAGCATCATATGCTTAATGGTTTTTTTTTACTTCCCACAAGAGTAAGGGTAAATTACCCCATAATTTAAGGGAGCAGTTGTATTTCTGAGCATATAATATAATTCTGTCCGTTTAGCTTGGCACATTAATTTGTGTTCCAAGGCAACATTTCCAGTTCTCTGAGATGCATTAAAGCACTCTGAGATAAGGGTTTATAGAAACGTATTAAAGGGGTACTGAGTTCTCCAGATTTTTAAACGTAAAACCATACTGGCAATTTAGCAAAAACTGCTCCTAAAGGCATCTGACTTCTTGTGTCAGGATGATAAAGAAGCTAAAAAGAGAAAATCATAATTGTTGTATCAAAACTATTCTGCTGTTGCTTACTCATCTGTTAAAAATTGTCAGGATCAGGAAGGGTTCTCATGGTGCCCTGCTGCTATGTCAGTGTAGCACATGCTTCAGGCACTTGCTTCCATACTGCATTCCAGGTCATTGATCAGACTCAGCAGGCAAAATACCGGGAGCTACATGACAAATCTTTGATTCGCAGCTGGGACTGCAACTACGTATCACAGTCAATGAGTCAGTTAAACATCAGTAGTTTAGCAAGCGTGAAGAAAAAAAAATTACTGGGATATCATTCATGGTTCTTTACGAGCTCGTGTACTGAATGAGTTAGTGTGCAGCTTCTGTTGTGCCTCTTAGCAAGTCTTAAAGGTGATGTTTCAAAAGATGGCTTTATAAGAGGCATGCAGGCAAAAATCAGATAATTGTCACGGTTTTTTTCCTGCCCTACTTTTTGTGGGAGGTGGAGGTTCCTGTAACAGCTGTTCTGAGCTGCTTTTAAGGGCAGTATCGTTCTGACTGAAGCTGTGCTTTAAAGCAAAACAGTTTTAACAGAAATATTTTTCTGCATGCAAAGTAGTCGATATGTTTAGGCTTTGCCAATCTGTCTGTTGGAGCTTCATAAAGAGATTCTCCTTTCTTAGGGGAAACAGTCCCTGTCCTTAAATTTCAGCTCAGGTTTGTTTATGCCTTTTGACTGCCTAATGTATTTCAGAAGCATTTATTTCTATGGTACATAGCATGTTTTTGGTAGGAAACAAGAAAAACGAGTGGTAGGAAGACAAATGATACGACTTAAAATGAGACTTAAAATGAGATCTGCATGACATCTTTCCGATTGTGGAAATTGGGTACGTACAGATCAGTTGATGCCTGTAAAGGCCGGGTTCCATCTCTAACTTGGTCTGATCTGATGGGTACACTGAAGACTACGCATAGCACATTGCATACGTAGATTGAAATTAACGTCTACTGTGTAACTTTTCCTGATATGTAACCTTCCTTTTATTTTTTAGGGACAATTGGATTCTTTGCATGCTTTTGGTTTGTAACCAAAATCTACAGTGTGGTGAAAGTTGACTGAAAGAACCAATGTCAAGAATTAACGCGGAAGAGGTTAAATCTTCACGAGCATAACTTACAGACCTGATCTCCGTGATGAACTTGAGCTTTATCAGAAGTGTTGGCTTTCTGTTCTTTGAGAATGATACTGAATATGCAGCTGCCCCAAACACTTTCTTCCACTAACACGTTTATATTGTGACTTAACAGCCTGTTTTCATGCAGATCTCAGTGAAGATCAGAGTTACAATATTTATGCATTTGTAAATACAACGATACCTTAAAATAAACGTTGAATTCTAATGGCAGAGTAGAACTGGCTGTGTTAGGCAACTTACTGATACTTCTGATTAAAGTACAATTGTAAATAGGATTTTCTAGCTTGGTAGGTGGGATGAATTATTTTTCTTTGAGGGAAATGAGAACTTTTTATTATGCTAACTTTGAAGGATGACTCTTAAGAAGTGTCGCTTTTAGTTTGGATGTGATTTTTATTTTTTACTGGTATTATGTCCACAAATATTCTGATTTCTGTGACTTCATTAGTTTCCGTGTTTTTGGCCTTTTAAACTATGTGCCTCTGAGTCCTTGAATTTATAAATTCATAATCTAATAAATATTGTAAAAATGTCTTCAGTGGGTCATTACCTGTTAAAAATTCACACAAATCTGTAAATACAATTATATGGAAGGTCGCACAGAGCATTTGATGGCATTTTCTGCAGTGTTCTGTATCTTGACACTCCTTTAGATCTGCAGTACACGTTGTGTCACACGGCTCAAACACTGCCGTGTGGTTGTGGCACGTGAGAATGAAATGATGCACACACTTAGCAAAGACACTGCAGCATTCAGCCAGTCCTTAGCCCAGGCTCTTGTTCAGGAATTGCTGTGGAATGGTCAGTATGTTGAGAAGGTCTTAATGCGTGAGTCAGCATCCTCTGCTGCTCCTGCTTTAGAAAGATCTTGATGAAGCATATGGCAACTGCTGCCGACTGTACTTAGTGTACGTTAAAAGAAAAAGCCAGTTCCTATTTTTGCCTTATATTAAGAGACTACTGTCAATTTCAGGTGACTAGCGTTTAATTGATATTTGCTTCTTTGAAAATGGAGTATTATATTCATACGTTGTTCAGTAATTTAGATTCAAAACACAATCTGGCTTTCGGTAAATTTTTTTTTCACAAACCTGATAAAATCTTACTTCAAATTAATCTTCCTGTACCATTTGTCATTTGTAAGTTTGGGTGTTTTTGGTTTTTTTTTTTATTATTATTGATTTGCTTTTCTAAAAAGACCTTAACCTAATGATGCTTGAATACTGAACCCAATAAAAATATCTTTGGTTAAGGTATTTTGTCATTATTAACCTCCTGGAAGCTGGCACGTAAGAATATTTCAGATAACATCTGAACTATAGTGCTGCACATCCCTGCTAGATGAACCACACCTCTCATGTTCTGCATATCTCCAACCACAGCTGTGTTCAGATGCTGTGGACAGAATTGTTGTGATTGTTTTCATGCCCCTCCCTGCAAGCAGTCACTAGGAAATGCTGATTTCAGATAACTCTTCCATGTTTTATGTTCAAAACAGGAAAAGGTGAGTGGGTGTTCTTTACAAATGCCATGAGCTGTAGTGTGACTTGATTTAAATTTCCAGGAAGGGTATCAGTGAATATTCTTACTATCCTTGCTTCTGAGGTTGCATTCTATGTATATCCGTGGTTCAAATCATCAATAGTTAGACAGCTGTGAGTTTTTGGTTTGAGAAATGTGGATCGTGTTACTGCAATACAAGTAGTAAGTGCTCAGTAATGTCAGTGTAGTGATATGAAAACAGATCTTAAAGAGAGATTTGCAATTGCTGCATGAGAGTAAGATTAGCAGGGATGGGATGTAGCTATTATGATCTGTATGCAGGTTTGCAAGCAGTGCTTTGCCATTTTTTTCTGTCAAGTAGACAGATAGTGGTGGATTCTTACCTTTGTGGTGTTTCATTATTTTCCGGAATCTAAACCTGCAAGCAAATTTTTCCAAGCAGATTGGCCTTATAATAATGGCATCTGGTGCATAATTGGGAATGGTTGAGTTTCAGTGCGCAGAGGTCTGGGAAGTTTATCACATCATAGCTTTAATAGCAGAGCTATTCTGAAGTTGTCTCAACCCTTGGAACTCATCTGTACCTCACATTTTGTTAGTTTTCTAGTGTAGAGTGTTGTGTACAGCAGGGCATTAAAACGCTCTGCAGTGCAGCATATCTGTGATTCAGATCTCTTAGGAGACCTGGGGATTTGGTCTCTGCTTTCAGCAATGCCTCTTCTTGTCAGAGCACATCACAACTTACGTATTTTTCTGCAGGACAAAAGATTCCTTGTGCAGAAATGATCTAATCTTCACCCAACTGCGCTGCTTCCTACAAGTTACCTCCAGCGTAACCTTTGTTCTCTGTCCTGCTCTTTCTTCTCATTCCCAATATCTAACAGATCTCCATAAAGCTGACTGCTGAAATCATTACCTCATGTATCAACTTCGGGTACACACGTGTACGTAAGTGCATGACACTTTAGATTTCAGATACTTAAAGCATAGATCTGCGGGGACTACAGGAAAGCTTGATTTATTGTTTGGTTACTGTATAACTGCCATCATGGGTTTCCTCTGCTTTTATTTGTAACATCTGGAAATCCCTGTTGGTAAGATGGGAGTAGTGTTAATCTGCTAGTTAATCAGATATGCCAAGAGATGACAAATGAAACTTGCCACGTTTGAATGGCAGCACGTTCCTGCAGCTTCCTGGACTTGCGACGCTTCCGAAAGTGCAATCTAAATTCTTCCTTCCCTCAGAGGGATTTTAGCATCACCTACTGGCCACAGCACATACAACCTTAAAGTATGGGAGCAGAGTTAAGGGTAAGATGGGACTTTTTCCAAACCACACTCTTGGAGGAGTGAAGACATGAAATATATTGACATACAGTTAATTATGTATGCTATTTTCAAGTTCATCAACGATCAAGAATAAAGAACAGTTAACACTAGTCATTCATGTAAGTTCTCTGTGAAGATGTTAAAGTGCAGTCGTGTGCCTGGAAAAGGTCCTTTAGAGTGAACTGTATTTCAGATATACAGTCTTCCTTTATGAGGATCTATTCTTCTCACCCAGATACCTTTGATGTCTTCAGATGTTTTTTTTTAAGTTCACTAAAAATGCAGCACTTCAGGCAGGGCCGTCAAGTCAAGATAGTTGATTGATTTTCTTCTCTGTTCTTGGAAAAAATATTTGTTGAGAAAACGCCCTCTATTTTTCCTATCTTTTCATGCCTAGCTTCTAATTTGTTCAGAAGTCATCACTGAAATGAAGTGCTTACAGTCACAGAACAACCTGACTTGAGGAAGAAATGCACTGATGACCTCCCAGCATGGTGGGCAGTCCAGCCTCTGCTTACCCCCGCTGTTGTTGCAGCAGCAACACGAGGAGCTCGTCACTCCTGGAGCACCATAAGGTAGAACCATAGAATCACCACGGTTGGAAAAGACCTCCAAAGCCATCCAGTCCCCTACCACCAATATAACCCCACAAGACCATGTCCTTCAGTACAGCTTGTAAACATTTCTCAAGCTCTTCCAGGGACGGTGACTCCACCACCTCCCTGGGTAGCCTGCACCAGTGCCCCACCACTCCTTTGGAGAAGAAACTTTTCCTATTATCCAATCTGAGATGTGACCAAGGAAGCTGGTAGGTTGGCGTGGAAGCCCATTCTCTCCGTGTCCCAAGGCCACACAAGACCACGCAGTTGTGACATTTCTTCTCTAGCCTTGCTTAGGAGCTACAAAATAGAGCAGATGTCAGTCCTGTTTTCTACTTTTCTACAGGGCTCTGCTCAGATCCCCTGTTTATCCCAGGAAGCAGAGTGATGACAGTAGCTCTGCACAGAAACTGTAGAGAGAAATAAAGGGGTTTCCCTTTATTCCCTTATTACTGTCACAGAGGACAATATCCAGACCCATGGGGCAAAGTCCAAACGAAGAATTGATTCCTGTACCAGGAAAATACTGGTTTGTCAAAGTAAAGTTAGTTCTGTTACACAATGACCAGTTTCAAGCAGAGATAGTGGTTTGGGCTTGGTTGGTTTGTTTGTCGTGGAAAACATTTCTTACAGCCATTTCAGAAGAAAACAAGACAGGCAGACAAGTTTAGGCAGATTAGAAATGTGTTTCTAAATCCCCCAGTGATTTTCTTGACCACTGGATTATTTTAGGGTGAAACACATCTATCTTTTAGTCTTTGAAACAGGTTTACAGACAGAGGTTTTTGAAGGCAATTTTTGCACAGAATGGGGCAGAAGTTGAATCTCAGTGTTTTGTTTAACAAAAAGCTGTTTCCTGGCCAACTTCACAACTGACACTTAGGAGGACTGCTGGTAAAATAACCTGAGTAGAATATCTGCCCTGTAATTTAATACAGGAATGCACTTCTGTGTGCGGCAACACCAGTCCCAGCGCACAATGTGCAAACAAATATCCAGCAGGATCCTCTACAGAGACACTGGCTATTGCTGTGCAGGACCTGGAAGTGGAAATTGTAGCCTTGGAATCCTTGAAAATACTGGCAATGGGAAATTCAATGAAAAATGCTACAGTTCTAAGATTGCAGGTAGATGAAAGTGAAGAAAAATACTTTCTTTCATTCCTAATTAACTTTGCACCTCACAGCCTGAGCACAGAGAAGGCAGCAACACTTCTAGGTCCTACCCGGAATATTGCAGAAATCCAGATAAGTAACAGCCAGTCACAGCACTGAAAAATGCTCATGGGACAGCAAATAATTATGCTGTTAAAAAGTTTACGAGTAATGGAAGAGCTCCATTTACAGAACTTAAGTTGTGGCAGAGAGAGCAGTGAGGTGCTGGAACAGGCTGCCCTGAGAGATTGTGGATGCCCTGTCCCTGGAGGTGTTCAAGGCCAGGTTGGATGGGGCCCCGGGCAATTTGATCTACTACTTGATGTAGCACAAACCAGAGGTCCCAGTTTGTGTGGAGATGTGTTCCACCTTTCACCTTTATGTGTGTGTAGGCAGCCCCTAAGTATCCAAACACCACGATGGTTCATCGTGCCAACTGTCATCTGTGGGCTATGCAGGAGGCAGCCGTAGAGTCCGTAACTCACAGCAGCGCTCCAGAGAAACCGCAGCGTTACAATTACAGAGGAGATGAAAGCTGTGCGACAAAAGGATTATCCAGGGTCCTGTCCGTGCTGAAAGTACCACATGGCCTCCCTCACAAAATACTGGTGCGCAGCAGCGGACGCCCCCGTGGTGAATCTCTGGGCAGGAGCCTCTTCTTAGAGATGCTGCTGCTGGGTGTTTCTCCTGAGTCTGCATCAGTATCTCCCAAGATCACACTTCTGAAGAATAAGTGCTGTCCTCATCAATGGGAATGGTTTGCTATGTGGTGGGTATCTGCTGGCCAAAATTATGTGTAATTTTTACTTTCAGTTTAACTTAGGTTTAATTGTCTCGATTTAAGCCTCTTGCACTAACACTAAGCTGCTTTTGTTTTTACTTTGGATCCAATAATTTTAATGTTTCCTCCATATGGCAGTGGGTTTTCAAAGGAAAAAAACAAGGTCTG